CTTGAATCGATTTTGTGGAAATGGCGTGGGCAAAGACTGCAGGACACTTCCAGTAAAACATGATGGAACCCTTGGCTGCATATCTTTCGGCACAAAGTGTGCCAAAAATCACGTCGCTCTAAACGTACGAAGTTTGTCGCCCCTGACCGGCTTTAAATTGCATTGCAAACCAGCAAGTGGGATATAAAAACCTTCGTGTTTTGCCGTAAACAATTTCCAGACCACATAACACCAGATCATTTACAGCGCAACAATCTTTCACAAAAGTCAAGCAATGCTTTAATCGCGCCAGAAATGTCTCAGAATTGTTTTTGAAATGCATGAAGAGCTTGCACGCCCTTCCTAGAATGGAATATACTGCATAATGAGGCAAAAACGTCTAAAAAACACCACGCTGATACGGAAGTTGGAGGAGCTGCCGTTTTCGACGGTGTATTTCTGTGTGCACGAGGGCACAAGTGGCCGGCGGCAGACACCTGGTCCTCCACTGACGGCTCCGAGGTGTCTGGCGCGGCTCAGCTGGCCCCGTCAACACTAGCGGCCGGGGAGAGCTGGCGTTACAGCTGCTGCGTCAACCACCCGGCACGGGCGGATCCAGGGCGGCCGGCCGGGGGAGCGAAACAACGAACAGCGACCGATGCCTGTCGAGTCGACGACGACTGTGTCGGTCATTAGCGCCTCCCTCCGCTTGCCCGTTCCTGTGCGAGCCGGGCGAGCAAAAATTCTTTGTGATGGGAAGTGAGCCCTGGTCACTCGATCGTCAAGCCTCCATTACGAGATGCGCTGGTTTTGGACCATGGCAGGGGAGAAGATCATGATGATGATGTCGGAGATAAATTTGGAAATTTGAGAGTGAATTTATCGGCACTGGCTCCCCCGACAACATACTCTGGGATCGCCTCTGGACGCGCAGAAGTTTCGGAAATGGCTATTTACGATTTGTTCAGGGCGCCTGTCAACAGTGAAAAGTCATTTGTTCATCAGGCGTTCACCTGAGTAAGCGATCCGCTTTTGCGATGGTGCGCCACTGTGACTGAGGGCATGACAAGCGAAATCTGACGACAAAACGCGCCGGACCCTTCCGAAGTGTCCCAAATCCTTGACACTGCCAACGGCGTAATACGCGCAAAACACGGCAATTCAACTCATGAATGACAAGGCCATAACGGCGACAATACGAGTCAGCCTTGAGAATTACACCCGGCGCCCAAACGAGCGTGATATCTCCCGTTCACAGTTAGGCGGCTTACACTATCTGATGAGAAGCTTCTGCAGCATGCCACCTGTCCCCAATCTCTCTTGCGGGCTATCTGCCAAACTTGTTGATTCGCCCAGGCTAAATTGCGACGGCCGACAGAACGCCAAAGCTCCCGCCAATCTGGCAACAGTTGATATTTTAATTGGGCAAGATCATAATTGTGTACGCTTTTTCAACGGAATCCCATAATTTCTGTTCAGACCTTCTGTCTGCTGAGTTCGTCAGAATGACGTCTAAAACACCGTTTGCAAACTAACATGTCGACGGGTCGTGTGAGCGGAGCCGCTTGTGTCTAGTAGTCTTCAACAAAAACCGTACGCGAGGCATCGCGCGACCAAGCTAAAAAATTCAGTGCGCAGCAAATGGAATCTTAAGAATTTAAATCTTGCTTTTTATTTAGCCGGCAACAAACGCTCATTACAAACTGAGGTCTCCTTAGGCGTCGTCATACTGAGCACACAACACTCTGCGCGCTGGCTGAATCTTAACGCTTACCATTTTCGATTAACTAATTGAGTCACTGTGATTGCCGAACAGATCCCCTGACAGCCCACACTAATGGTCGAGATAAGCATAGCATAACGATTCCCTCCCCCCCCCCCCCCCCCCCCCCACCCCCTCTCTGGGTCCGGGTACATGTTTGAGTCAGAGAGTGCCAAGGAAGCCTTGAGAAAACGTAACCGACGGAAAAGCCGAGGTTGGCGTTGCCATGGTAACGTTGCCAGTTGCAGGGTTTGCAAAAGGCTACGTCTGGCCTGAACTTTTAGCAACGGGCTTAACGGGACGCCAGTCTGCATGCTCAGGGGATTTAAAGTCAGTGCATGGAGTTCCACGCCATTTTTCTTTTCACTCGCGGACACGGACAAAAGTCGAGCGGCCTTGTCCCTGAAGGGATGCGTCATGAGATGTGAAGACGGTGGGTAATGAATGGCTGAATAAATAAACACGGTTACGAGCGATGAAGCAGGCTGACAAGTTTTAAAGTCAACTAACCGGAGATTTGCATAGGGCCAACGGCCCACCTCGGCTGGAGCATTCTTGACGAACTCGTACCTCTGCAGTTAGCCATAGTTCCCTTTCAGATGTTTCCGCAACCAGGAACACAGTTTATCAAACGCTGTGGCGCAATATTTTGAAGACGCGACTTTTCAAGCTGATTTCTTTTAGGCATCTCCGTGGACTAGTGAAAGTTAGACAGAGGCGTTATGGCTGAATGGTTAGCACATTTGGTTCCCGCGTGGGGGCCCGGCTTTGAAACCTGGTAGACCATAGCACCTGACCACTTATATAACCTACACCGTCGCTGGCACCCCGTGACGTAATAGCTGGATGGTTAGCACCTTCGGCCACCACGTGGGGCCCGGGTTCGAATCCCGGTCCCTGCACACCAACACGACCTGTGCGGTCGCCGACACTCGACGACGGTGTGGTGGGCGGTGCCCGACGACGCGCGTCACGCTACCTTTCACAAAAAAGACTGCGGGCAACGCCGCTGAGCTCGTTATCCTGCGGCACTGGGAACGAGTGCTCGAGCGGTGCATTGTTCGGCCTGAGTGACACAAAAAGGTCTGCTGGCAACTGGCCAACGAGGGTCAACCCAGGCCTGGGGTGGCCGTGCCCCAGGATTGTGCGACATATGAAGTCTCTGCGGTACTGTGTGATGAAGGGATGGAGGCCAAAGTAGTGTGGTCGACAGGACTTAAGAGCTTGTTTAGTGGGTTCTGGGTTTACGTAACAAGCTATGCTTAGTTGGTAATTTTAACCACACACCACTTATGCAAGCCATTTGGATCAATTCAAAAGGCTGTTTGGTCGGTGGTATACTTCAACGCTGAAGTGTTACCACTTTTACACTCTCCATTGAATTGACATGAGCAACATGCAGTCTTCAAGACACTTAAAAGTTTGGGAAAGCTTTCACCGTGTCGACCAGGCGTTATGGCGGCGTGAGGCTGATAAGTACCGAAGGAGGAGAAAACAGACGACCATACTGGAACGGACGTGGGCTGACTGCGTGGCTTTCCTGTCGCGCGCAAAAACGGATCCACCCGTTTTGAGACATTTCTAAGGATCGGTGTAAGATGTCAGAAGCCAGCGCCGATGGAGACGGTGAACTAACTGCACACTGTAGGCCAACCCGCGCCCGAGTGGCCGGTCGAATGCGACGCGCTTGGGGGGGGGGGGGGGGAGGAATTCGTCACCACCGCTTGATATATCAAAAAGCTAGAGAGCTACAGACACCAAATTCACAAGGTAGGTAGCGACCTATGTGAACCCAGCCGCGGCGAGTTTTTAAATGCTGTGTTGTGACCTTCATGTGAAACGAGATAAGACAGGGTGGAATTGACCTTGTCTTTCATAATATAGACAGCCTTGAGGGGTGAATCTCAGACTCGTTGTACAAATGTGCACAAACTCCTGACGCAAACTGTTTCAACAATACTAACCTTTAACGACTACTGAGCTCTAGAGACAGTGCCAAAGGTGATGAGAGTTCACTTCGGCTGACAATTTCGGTGAAGGAAGGTAATCTTAATTAATTTCTATCATGGTAAGGGGCTGTAGTCGGTTTTACCCCCCAAAAAAACTGCAAAAACTATGCCGACTAATCACGGTAATATACATACATACATACATATATATATATATATATATATATATATATATATATATATATATATATATATATAAAGGAATATACGTATACACATATAGATGCATATATGTATATATATATATATATATATATATATATATATATATATATATATATATATATATATGACAAATCACATTAATTCAAAGCTCCTACTTATGCATCTCTTGCTAGTAAAAGAGGCGTAGCCCCTCATATCTAATCGTTTCGTCGCTCTTTTCCAAAAAAAAGCAATCAGCGTGATCCATTCGCATACTTCTCTTCCAATTGTTTTTGACACTGTCCATGCATTTACTGAACTCTGAAATGAATGGTAGGCAACAAAATACATTTTTTGTCATCCGCAGGTACGCATAAAAATCATGTAAAATTATCTAATTTAGACTCCTAAAATTGCTCATTGGCAGAAGTGCTCCGTTTCCCTATCCTGATGTAGTCAATGACAAAAATGATTGTAAAAGTTCTATTGCTTGGTATCCACAAGTGTGGATACCAAGCTATCAAATTACTAGCAATTTATATCATATGGATAAATTATCCAATTTTCGAACATAACTTAAGCGCTGACGATGCACTGAAGTATTTTAGGATGTTTTTAGGTAGTTCTTAGGTTTTAAAGCTTGTAGGTGAAATTTCTTAAATGCATACCAGATCAGAGCTCTTGAACAGAATTCAATAATGAGGGGATATGTGGAAGCCTGATTTGCTAAAATAGCGAAATGTCGCCGACAATAGTGGATTTGTTGTGTTCTTTTCTTTGCTGATGTCAAACAAAAACACTGGCTGATGGTTAGCCTCCTCATGGCAAGCGGGCAGTCAGTGCTTGTTGGATCCCAAAACTCGGTTTCAAGGGCTATGGAAAGCAAAAATACGAGTAATTAATGTAAGGATGTTCAGCGGTAATCATGTCCATTCAGCTTAGAACGTGAACGGGAGAGACCACAACGCCTGCAGGTGAATTCAGGTAGAGAATCACCGCCCTGTGTCTCCGACACAGAGGCCGTCCACTCCTGAACCACAATAGAAATGACAGCCAGATGGAGCGTTAATGTTACATAATGAAGAGACCACGACATCCCAACTTACCTGTCACGGACTTTTGCAGTTCTAGGACGGCAGCGGTGCTCCCAATCCGCCTCGATCCCCGCAACGACGCCCCGTTTTCGCACCGGCGGTCGTCAAGCGACTGCACGTGGCAGCGTGCCGCGCCAGCGGCCGGCCCAACCAGCTCTGAGACCGGCTGGGCGGCGCACGTGGCTGAGCCGGGCCGAGCGGCGGGAGGACGGAAAGGGAGGGGCATGGGGAGGGCGTGGAGCGGCTCACTCCGCGGAAAGGCGGCACACTAGGCGTTGCTGTCTACCGCAGGAGTTGTCCGGAAGAAGGCGAGGTGCTGGGGAGACTCCCATCCCCCTCTCTCTTTATGGATATATATATATATATATATATATATATATATATATATATATATATATATATATACATTCTGGCATTATTCATCTCTTCCTCACACCCACCCTCTTTCTCTATACCTGCTTTTCTCAATAAGAAAACCACTAACAATTGGGGTGTGGGGATAGGTTGGGATACGCACTCCCCTTCCTTTCATGGACCAAGAAAAACTGCCGTGGGCGAGGTGACCGTGGGAGAAAACAGATATATTAAAGGCGTACAATGCTTTTGGCATTGTCAACCTTCTGTGGCGAATGCGGCTTCAATTGGTCATCCACAAATACGCCAGATGGCAGCACGCGCGGTGGGACCAGCCAGGTGGCAGCACGCGTGGTGGGACCAGCCAGGTGGTAGCACGCGTGGTGGGACCAGCTAGATGGCAGCACGCGTGGTGGGACCAGCCAGGTGGCAGCACGCGTGGTGGGACCAGCCAGGTGGCAGCACAACAGCATGCATTATTTGTGGTGTGAACCACTGCCACATTGCCTTTGCCATTAACGCGCCAACACTGCAGTGCTGCTGAGCCAAGTATTAGACATAGAGCCTGATTCTGTTCATACATTCAGAGTGAAAAAAGCGTTGAAAGGTGACGTAATGCTCGTATGTCATAGGCATACTTATACCGACACTGCAGTATCATACGTTGTATCGTAGCTACACCTGTGCTAGCAACTAAAGCTGCCAAAACCTCTCTGTCACTCTCCCCAGTCGGTGTTTTGAGCTTCCTCGGTGATCAGGAAGGTGACAGGGACTCGGCGCAGCCTCTGCTGACACGCTCCAGGCGCACTTGACTGCACCGGTGGGCGGACAAGCGACCGCTCGGCGCGTCTGCACGCGGCGCTGAGCACTTCTTGTTTGTTGCACTAAATGCTGATTCTCAGCTGCGTAAGCTGTTCAGTGCATTTGCGAGGAACATAATGCATATAGATGAAACAGTAGTAATAGGCTTATTCCTTGTCGAAAACAGGAAATTGGAGATAAAGATGCGCTGATTTTTGACCACATGCCTTTATCAAAGCGAATAGCGATAGTGAATTTACTACTGCTGTTTGCCATTGCTTTTTAATTCTACCATATTTATTGCTACTTACTGCCATAATTTGTGCAACTTATCATTGCTATCACCCTTACTGCTGCTTTTATTTACTGCTGCTCTTTGTTTTGATAAAGGCATAGTGCCGAAACATAAACTAATCTACGTCTCCATTCTCCTGGCTTTTCTACGACGAATAAGGCTATTACTGCCACCTTATCTAGAAGACCGATTCTCGCTTGACAATCCCGCGCACCATGGTGTCGAATCGAGTGACATCTCCCTCCTCAACAAAGCGCATCACCGTCATCATTTTAAGGGTAAAGGACAGGTTCTCTTCCTCGAGGGGAATGCCGTCTATAGTAGCGTTGGCGACTATTATGCAATGCTCACGTGAAACATTGCCTGCGTGGCCACAGGCGTCGGACTTTTGACAGCACCCAAACTGTCTCGATGAAAATGAGCACTTTGTCAAGTTTTTTGTTCGTTGGTTTGTCTGTTTGTCTGCAACTCGGCGGCACAGTTAACCATTCTTATTATTAAGGTATCTCGCATCGTATTCTTACACCTTGGTTGGCACAAATGTGCTATTTATGTTAGCAACATAGAGACAGAAGCTTTCTGTGAGGTGATGCCTTGGGATGCACGCGGTGTATTGCGTGCTTCCTTTAAATAGCGATTATTATTGATATTCTGCCAGTTTCAGACACCTGTGTCGAGGACCTACCCAATGTCTATGGCAACAGCCCCTGCGATCCCTTTCAATGCGCGCTTAACGCCCTCTGCAATGACGTCAAGACGGTGAACACATCTATAGAGGCGTTCATTGTGCATTCACATATGAGCCGTTAACACAGCGATGCAGTAATCAGTTGAGCGTACAGGCTGACGACGTCACAGGCCAGACTGTTCATTCACTCATGTAAAAGCCACGGTTATCAGCGTCGCCCCATCACAGCGGCGAAGGAGCTCACGGCGGCTTCCTGCCGCTGAGATCGCGCCCAGACCTCCCAGCCAGGAGCCGGCCGCCTCAGCCCCTCGGCTACCTACCCCCTGATCACCTCCCGGCCAGGAGCCGGCCGCCTCAGCCACTCGGCTACCTACCCCTGATCACGCCGGGGTCCGGGTGGCCTGATGACCTGGGTGGCGGCGTGATATCGATCTCCGGCGCCGCTGCCTGGACGACGGCCCGCCGACGGCGATCGATACCCGGCACCCACGCATCGGGGCGGCGCGGCCGACTCCGAAGTGTGCCCCTCCCCCGCCCGCCTCTTCCGGCTCTGCTGGATTAGCCCGCGGGCCGCGGAAGGTAATTGCAGATAGGTGGGAGTGTTTTGCGGAGCTTGGAGGCCTTGGGGAGGGTTTGAACGGTTCACCGGAAACCGGACTCACGATGTGCGAACTGGGGTGTGAACCCGCTGGTTTCAGGAATGGCGTGTCATTAGCAGTGGTATGCTCACTCGTGGTGTATGCGCGGCGATGTCTGAGACATACACCTACACACGAACACGCACACATACGTGGACAGAGCGAGAGATAGATTGCCTTTTCAACAGTTTTGGTAGTCATGTGGTGATGTATCGATCAATCTGCATTTTACGTACCAGTAAAGGTAGAAGGCACACGCATAACTTTAAAACTTCGGACATGCCTTCCCCATCCCCAGAAATGAATAGACCTCTGATCAGTTATAATAGATTTAACATGCGTCCGGGTGGCCGGCTGAATACCTTTCGCTCAGGTGGGTTTCGGGGGTCAACTTGACTCCCCTGAGATCTCAAAAAGTAAGGGAGCTAGAGACACCAAATTCACAGAGCGTGTTAGCCTATATGTGAACTGACTTGTGTCATCATAAGAGATTCCTAACTTATGATATTCTTGTCAAATAAGGTCAAGCAAGGTCAAACTCCAGACTGGTACCCAAAGTGCCCGAGAACATAGACGCCTGTTCCAAGCAACAGGTCATTGGGCCTCATTTAAGGTCAGTGACCTTGCTTTACCTCTTGAAAGTCTTGGTGACCAAAATCATAAAAGACTGCTTTGTGCTTTGCATTTAAAAAAGGTCAAAGGCTACGTTAAGTAGTATTTTCCTAAAAATGAAATTTTGAACCCGGTCATTTTAGGTCAGTGACCTATTCCGACCTTCAAAAAGTCAATGGGAGATGTGCAATGCGTTTCTGTTATCAATGAATTCGAATTGAGCACCAAAAACTATCCCATACAGCAAGTTCTAGAACAATAAAGCAGTTTGTTTTGACCTTGGTTTGACCGTCATACCTGACCCTAGGTCAATGGAGTTTGTTCATTCAATTGCTGTGTTGCCTAAGAAAGTATCGTTAAGATATATGGCTTCGTCTAACACTCCTATATTGCATCAGATCAAACGATTCCCTAGAAATTGTCTTCGCTGAATCTATGGCCTGACTTAGACCCGCCGTACGTCAGCCACCTTACAAGGTACGTGTAAATTTTGGACATCAAGCGATTCGATGTATAATTTTCTACAGCTATGCATAACTTAGCGCGGCGTAGCCGTGCCATTCGGAAACCATTCCGGAAAAGCCTGGGGGGGAGGGGGGATTGCACTCACCGGTCTCGTGTTAGATTAGGATGTTGACCCACTCCCATCCGATTACACAGTAACTCAAATGAAGACATGTTACACGACATGATTTGCTAATTAAACTCTACTTAACAGAGCGACAAAGCAGCCTGCACGCAAAGGAATGAAATGATATGCCAACAAGTGAATGAATGACGTATAACTCTGCGCGCGTCAGACGCCTGACCTTTTCTCTCCGATCTTCCCACAACTTCAACGTAATGCTTGACTTGAGATCTTTGTTCAGAGCTGGGGAAAAGTCGTGGATGAATAAAGCTTCCAAAATCAACATCCTTCTAGCGTCGTTGTCGTCCTACAGCTCCGTCAGGAAACTGAAGGTTAGAGACGCTTTACTTGCTCTCTGCCTCTTCTAGGCTCTGAACAAAAATGCTGGAGTCGGTTCTTACGGCTGTGCTTTGCGAAGATCAGAGATGAAAGCCCTGATAGGATAAACTGGCTGATGCTTGTGCGGTTGCCTTCCGTCCATTCATTGGCACCTGCACGATTTTAGGTGATAACATGCGGGTCATTGCATTGCTTTCGTCGCAATTTATCGTGCAGCACCATTGTAATCCACATACAGTTTACTAATGCATAGCGAGGCAATGGCCAGAAGTATTAATATATATATTATACAAGCCGGTACTCATACGCAATTAGTTATTCCACTGCAGGAAACATGGCGATTGCACTTCTTTTGACAAATGAAACGTAGTTAAAGAACATAGTTAAAACTATTGCCTCAGGTTGTGGACAGACACAATAAGGCGTTGTTGAAACGCTGCCGTCTCCATGGAACTCACTCATGAACTGCAATCCATTCTAAGGCAGGCAGTACACACAAAGAACCTTTGCTGGCGTCTACGATGGTGCTCCAGCGGCCTCTTTCTTTGCCAGCCTGTCTCATTGCGCTTCAGCTACTTATTGACTCGACGGTAAAGTAAACCCCTTGAGGATGCGGGGCATGCGACAGTGTAACGGGCTTCACGGTGATGTGCCACTTTATTTTTGCCATAAGCGTCGCGAACGAATATTCTTGCTAAATGGTGTTAAAAAATCGGACGGACGTGCCGCTTATCACGAAAG